CGTAGTACAGCGCGCTGCGGTCGTCCGGGCGCAGCAGGTCGTACCACGGCTTCTCGCCCAGGGCCAGGTCCGCGCGCACCTCGGAGACGGCGCCCGGGCTCGAGGGCACGGCGGCTTGGTCCTCGATCTTCTTCAGGCTCTCGTGGCTCTCGTCCGGCCCGCCCGAGAGCAGGTCCGGCAGCGTGTAGGAGATGCCGTTGACGCGCGCGAACTCCTCGTCCGCGCCGACGAGCGCTTCGTCGCCGTGCGTCTGCGCGGCGGCGCGGTCGGGCGAGGTCGATTGGTCGATGGGGGGCTCCTTGTCGGAGAGGCTGGGGGTGGGGGTGTTCTTGCCGAGCAGCGCGTCGACGGTGTAGGTCATGCCCTTGACCTGCTCGATATCGTTGCCCTCGATCTTGCCGTACTGCAGCACCCGTCCATCGGCGGGCGACAGCAGCGCGTTCGGATTAGCATCTAGGGGCCTAGCACCGGGTTTCAGTGTGCGGTAAAAGAAGGATGCCAGATTGGGGTAGACGCGGAGATCTGGTTCGGAAACCTCGTCGAGATTCACGCCGAAGATAAAGGAGTACAGCTTGAAGCCGGGGACCCGCAGGTAGTACGGGATGGTGAGCTCGTTGAACTTGCCCCATAGCCTCGACATGGCCTTCAGGGGCAAGGTGGACATGATTTGCACCTGCCACGGGCCATCTGGTCGTATGCGCGGCCGTCTCTTGGGACGCCCGCCCTCGAACTCTGAAGCTTCCTTCTCGAGCCTTTCTTTCTCCCGCGCTTGTGTCTTGTAGAATTGGACTAGGCCGAGGAACCCAATGCCTAGCCCGACTGGTATAGGATACCATTTCACTTTTGTGTCTCTAAGCGCACCCCGCAACCTCGAGCCGAAGCGGTCGTTGTTCTGGTGTTTCTGGGACGACCGGTGGAAGCATGGTCTCGGCGTCGTTATGAATTGTCTGGTCTGTCGTAGCATGCACGGTGATAAGTGGCGGTTTAATTTGGGCGAATGCCCTCGGATTGGCGCCGAATATAGGCTTGCCATTGACATGTCCGTCCGTCTTTATGGTCCGCAGCGTTGGAGTAGTTTTTCATCTGAGTTTTGAAGTTTGTATCGAGGGGAAATGCAGTACACTAAATAGTTTGCTTAAGCTTTAAAGTGGTTGCATATATAGGATTAAAATTGAACAGGTCGAAGACAATGGCATTCGTCTGATAGCAAACAACATTGATTATGAAAGAAGTTATATGTCCAATCTAATTAGAGAAGTTCTACCGGAACTTTGAATCCAAAAATTGAAATATTTAGAGTCATGATCGGATCGGCCTAGCGTAACTCAATCGTAGACTCGACCCTCAATGACGCAGGGTAGTGGAGCTGAAGAAGCTATCCCTTTTCAGCTCTAGAGTAGGGCGGTATCGACGGGCAGAAAACATGTTTCCCGAAAGTATGGGTACGTACCATGATTGGCGCAACGTGGAAGGTTTATCCCATTTCCATCTTGGGAGTTTTATTGGTTCATGTACCTAGACAGTTTACATAAGCAAATGACATGACAGCTTGCATTGCGCAGTCGAGTAACGACAACGAGCAATACTCTTCCCTCCTTTTGATTCAATAGTAAACTTTTTCCGAATTCCTTTTTAGACCCAAACTTTTCATTAGTTAATTGAATTAATTCTCTCTCCCACATACACCCTCTTTTTTTCCCTTCCTCTTATCTTGATTTACGACGGGAGACTTAAGTACATTATCAATTACGTGTACTCTGCGGGAAATCTTGGGATGATTCTTCCCTGATTGCCTGCCTGACATGCTTCCCACCATCTCCTAAGTTACGACATACCTAGGTACTCAGGTGAATGCGCAACTTTGTTTAGAATTCGAACACACGAAAACTGCTTGCCTCAGAGGGTCCCCGTACCCTCGGAGCCGTTTCCCGCACTAGCCATTCGCGATGGCGTCCGATCTAGCCGGCCCAGCGGCTTCTGAAGCCGGTCCCGACTCAAACACCTTCAAATTACAAATCATAACACCTTCAGTCGGCGTGCCACAACCATTAATCCTTCAGGATCTCTCTGCCGACCTCACGGTTAAAGAGCTTAAAGAGCGAATCCGAAATGCCATCGGTACCCAAGCAACAGAACAGGCTCAACGCCTCATTTACAGAGGTCGCCTTGTGTCTCGGGACACGGAGACTATGGCGGAAATCTTTGGTCAAGAAGCGGTATGTTATCTGCCGTTGTGCGAGTCTAATTGTGTATCTACATGTGTCTGTGTCTGACTGATTGTATTGCATTATAGCTTCGTTCTACAGAACCGCAATCATTACATCTTGTGCTTCGCGAACCCTCCGACGTCCGATCAGCATTCACGCCGACTCCCCTTCAAGCCGCAAGCCAAGTTCCTCCCCCAGGCCAACAACCAGGCCAACAACCAGGCCAACAGCCAGGAGGAGCGCATATTCCTCCACAACACCCTCTACATCACCACCACCATCACCACCACACAGCCTTCCCGACTCAACCTCAGGTGCGCGCTGGAGCACCTCATCACCATAGTGTTATCTTTGGATTTCCTCAGGGTTCCGTGCCTGGGTTTGGAATGCCTGGTGCGGTGCCTGGTGCCGTCCCTCCTTCGGTCGCAGCTGCTCTCCCTCCCGGACTCACACCGCAGCAGTATAACCAGTGGATGAGAGCTATGAATGCACACATGGGTGGTGTTCCCAACCAAAACCCGCCAACGACTGCTCCAGGAGTGCAACACGTGCCAATCACCAATATGAGAGGAGCGCCAGGAACCAGTACACCAGGAAGAACTGCTTCGCCCTCTCCCTTCCAGCCCGAAGGCACCCGTACCACGGTTCGTGAGAGCACTGGACCTAATGGCCTTCAATATCGTGTTACCATTAATGAAACATTCGTCAATCCGCTACAACGACCGGGGAGAACAGCGTCACCATTTGCGACACCCGATGCCGCAAATCCTTGGGCCCCACCGCCGCGATCTGTTCCCAATGCGGGCCAGGTGAATCACGACGACATGCACAACATCTTCCGATCTGCAGATGCTGGTTCGGCTATAAGGGTTATGACCGATGCCATGCGCAGGAACGCTAGTAGCTCTTCCTTAGCAAGTCTTGCTGCAAGCCAAGGCCAAGCTCACCACCCTATCCCTCCTGGCGTCACCACGCCGTTAATCCCGTCCCGCGCTGGTAGTGCCGCCGGGACCCCCGATCCACTAAGAGCACTTGGCCGAACCAGAAGCCCGCCGGCGAACCAAACTCAGGCACAGTCACAGTCACAGCCATCTCAAAACACACCAGAGGTGTACATTCTATCTTCACCCAGTGGACCGCGTGCTCTGTTACTCAACAGCAGTACCTCGGACTCGTACTTTACTCCTCCAGCCCGATCCGCAAATCAACCAACCGGCATGTCGTTTGCGCCGAGGCCTTTTCCAGCACTCGCCAACCCTTTCAGTCCACAGCACGTAACGCCCACACCAACTGTCCATCGGCGATTATCCCCACTTGGACCGCCTAACGCGCGACAAAATGGTACCCCTCAACCGCAACAACCGCAAGCTCAACCACCGCAAGGCTTGCCCCAACCACCCCAGGGTCAACCCCAAATAGGACATGCCGTAGCACGCCCGGATAACCCGCAGGTGCAGGCTATTCGGCTAGCTCAGATATGGCCTCATATATCGATGCTGATCCGTTTGGGTCTGTTCATCTGGTGGTTCACCTCACCGAGCTCTAGCTGGTCTCGTTGGTTTACCGTCCTATCTATCGCCGTCACGCTATTTCTTGTCAACACCGGTCTTTTGAACCCCCTTGTTGACCAATTCTGGGTGCCTTTCCGTCGACATCTCGACAACCTGATTCCCCTTCCCCACGACCACGGCCACGGCCCACAACCACCTGTCGGGGCTGGGAATGCTCAGGCCAGGAACGGCGAGACCGCCGCGGAACCCGGACAGCAGACGGAGCCGAATCCAGCCGACGCGGCAGCTAGGCTGGTGCAACAGCGACGACACGCTAACGCTAATTGGTTGATGAACCAGGCTAGAAGATTGGAACGTGCCGGTATCCTGTTTCTGGCTAGCATTGCCCCGGGAGTGGCCGAGCGCCATATCCAGGCTGAACGAGAACGAATACGAAGAGAGGCCGAGGCTGCGGCCGTGGTGTTAGCGGCCGCCCAGGCTGAGAATGAGCAAAGTAACGAGAATAACGAGAACAACGAGAACGGCACGCCTACTTCTCCTGCCGCCGAGGCAGCCGGAGAACAGGCCCCGGTGGAAGGGGAAGGGGAGAGGGCGAGGGAGGTGAATGACGAGATACGAGCGGAGGAACCGCTTATTGCCGTATGAACCGGTGGAGGACAAAACATATCTAGTGGTGGATGAGATGGTGGATCCGAACGGACGAGTAGCCAGCCAGCCAGCCAGCCATACTGGCTCATGGAATGGAATCTTGTTTACCCAACGTACGTGAGTTAAGAGCTTGGTCAGAATGACAGGGCCTCGGGGCCTTTTTTCTTTTTCGTTCCCGTCTTCGAGGCCTCTTCCGGAAAAAAAGGAGAGTTCCGTATGTATGTACAGTTACAGTTACAGCAAAGGCATTGTCGGTGGGAGTCCGGCAGTGCGACGTGTATCAATCAATTATGGATGACGGATAGGGTAGTGAAGTCATGTGTATGTATGGTATGAGATGAGAAAGGGAGGTGTCCTTGAAATGGTATAGTAGGGCGTGGGCGATCGTGCTGAATCAAGACCATTCAAGCCATCCATGCATACCTGTTTTACGGGTTCTCCAAGTCTCATGCTTCATCTTGACCGTGTAGATTTAATGTTTGATGCTCTAGGAACGCACAGGGTATTTTTTTATGATTGCCCTCCTTATACCCCCTGTAAGTTTTTCTTAAGAAAAAGGTGCAAGGGTTATGTACAAGTATATCTAGGTAGTCTTCCACTCCATTAACCATCCATTAACCATCCATTACTCTAAGATTTTGTGGTATAGTTGGTTATCACTTCAGTCAGTCTACATAGCATAGGCACTGAACGTCTCCAGTTCGAGCCTGGACGAAATCATTCAAGACTACCTAATTTTAGGTTCTCTTTTTGGGGACCCTTACTTATTAACTTGACTTAGGTGCGGTTGAGGTTTGTCCTATTTTTTCATATGGTAGGGTCATCGAAGTAACTCGCAACAGCTCACTGCAAGCATTCGTGAGGAACCTTCACTGAGGAATCGATACTTATAATAGTTCATCACACTACTCTAACCTATACCGTTCGTTCGCAGTACAAGCAATGTTGCTCTTCCCCCTTCCAATTCGACCGGTTCGTTCCCGTCATATGTACAACTCCAACTTTGAGCATGGCTTTTCCACTAGAAATAGAACGTCAGACATCCAACCCCTTACTCGTCCATGACGGCGGCAAACTTGTCCAGCATGGTCTGCTGGATGCTCTCGTACTGTATACCAAGTTAGCATCAATAAAAATCGCAAGTCGTAATATAGGGGACGTATGAGAGGCTTACCTTCTTGCTGATAGCGTCCTGGCCGTCGCTCGGGACCTCGAACTTGAGCTGGCGCAGCTGGGCCTGGAGGTCGCTGGTGGCCTCGCGGACCTTGTTCCAGCTCTGGCCCTGGGCGATGGCCTTCTGGGCCTCGTCGTGGAAGCCGACCATGAGCTTCATCATCCACTCCGTCTTCCAGAGGGGGCAGAACTGGTCGTAGTCCGAGTAGCCGTTCTGCTGCAAAAAGTCCTCCTTCAGCAGCGTCGCCATGTCCAGCGTGATCTTGTCCGGGTCCGACAGCGCCGACTTGCCGACGAGCTGCACCACCTGGTCCAGCTCCTCCGAGTCGGACAGGAGCTGCTTGATGCGGTCGCGCAGCCGCGGGAACTCGGGGAAGTCCTTCTCGTACCACTTGTCCAGGGTGTTGGTGTACTTGCTGTACGAGACCGACGTGTTGATGGACGGGAAATGCTTGCGCTGCGCCAGTCTCTTGTCGAGACCCCAGAAGACCTGCACGATACCGAGGGTGGAGCTGGTGACGGGGTCGGAGAAATCACCACCGGGGGGACTGACGGCGCCGACGATGCTGACGGAGCCCTCGCGCTCGGGCGAGCCCAGGCAGCTCGTCTTGCCCGCGCGCTCGTAGAAACTGGCCAGCTTGGCACTGAGGTAGGCGGGGAAACCTTGATCAGCGGGCATCTCACCGAGACGACCGGAGATTTCACGCAAGGCTTCGGCCCATCGGGAGGTGGAGTCGGCCATCATGGCCACGTCCATGCCCTGGTCGCGGAAGTACTCGGCGACGGTGATGCCGGTGTAGATGGAAGCTTCTCGGGCGGCGACGGGCATGTTGGAGGTGTTGGCGATGAGGGTGGTTCGCTTCATGATGGGTTCCTTGCGGCCCTCGATCTCGATGGACAGCTCGGGGAAATCCTTCAAGACTTCGGCCATCTCGTTGCCACGCTCGCCCTAACAGGTGTTAGTTCTCTAGAAAGATACCCTGATAGAGTGGTAAGACTTACACATCCGACGTAGACGATGACGTCGCTGTTGGAAAACTTGGAGACGGACTGCGAGATGACAGTCTTGCCGCATCCGAAAGCACCGGGGATAGCCACGGTACCGCCCTGTACGCTAGGGAAAAGGGCGTCGAGGACTCGCTGACCTACGATGAAGGGGCTGCTAGCCGACAGCTTCTCGGCCGTGGGTCGGGGGACACGGACGGGCCAGGTCTGCATCATGCCGTACTCGGTCTTGGTGCCGTTGAACTCGACCTCGAGGATCTTCTCGTCGACCGTGTACTCGCCCTTGCCAGCAATGCGAGTAATGGTTCCCCTGGCTCGCGGGGGCAGCAGGATCTTGTGCACCTTGATGAAGGAGTTCTCGAACACGGTACCCCAGACGTCGCCGCCCGAGATATGGTCGCCTACCTTGGCCGTAGGCGTAAACTCCCACTTCTTGGTGCGGTCGAGGGCGGGAGCGGCAATACCGCGCGGGATGTAGATGCTATGGGACTGCTGGAAGATCTTTTCGAGGGGCCGTTGGATTCCGTCGTAGATGTTGTGTAGTAGGCCGGGGCCGAGCTCGACTGAGAGAGGTTTGCCGGTACGTTCGACGGGGTCGCCCACGGTCACGCCAGCTATATTTATATGTTAACTTTTGATTTTGTGTTCTTTGCAAGTAGTAATAAGACGCACCGGTCTCTTCGTAGACTTGGATGGTGGCTTGGTCGGCGTTGATTCGAATGACTTCACCGACTAGTTTATCGTGGCCGACCCTTACGAGCTCGTACATGGCCACTCCCACCATGTCCTCGGCCACCACGACCGGTCTACGTTCACCATCGGGTCAGTTTTTGTGCTTGAAAGCTATTCGGGAGTGTAGTGCAGTATGTACGAACCCGGACACGGAGTAGATCTTGCCTATACACACACATCGTTAGCTCTGATAACAAATACGACATAGACAATAAATGGCAGAGCTACATACCACTATTGAGACCTTCGTGCTCGCCATTTGTGGCTTTTGCTGACTATATGTGCGACAAAATATTAGGATTCCAAGTTTGTTACCAAGACATATAGCTTTGTCTCGTTGCAAGTTTTATCGTAGATGAATGCAAGCTTACCGGAGCCATCTTGGGAGTCTGTTTCGGTATCGTAGGCTGCTCTGCAGCTGGAGAACTAGGTGAAATAGAAATTACGGGAACGGGCAAAGGAGAAGCTGGAGGTGATGAGCCCGGCGACGATGAGACTGAAGCAGAGGTAGAGGGCGTAGTAGTTGTAATGGTGATGTTCGTGGTATTGGTATTGTTAATGCTAGTGTTAGTGCTGGTACTAATTGTGGCTGCAGCTGGCGATAGCGCCGGGCTGGGGGGTAATGGTTGGTGGGAAGCTTCAGCTAGGATGTGCGACCCTGTGGCCGCTGTGGCTTTACCACCCCCAAAGCTGCCCCCAAAGCTGCCAGGTGACGCAGACTGCTCAGAACTCGCAGGTGTACCCGGCCGACTCTCGCTGGTTTGCCCGTGGTTTCCCCGTCGGATCAGGTCCACTAGTGACGGCCGGGCCCGCAGCAGTCGCGGTTGGAGGCCGAGCATGCACAAAGACTTGCTATGTGCTTTAGACGTCTAAGACGTCTTTTGACCAAGTCGACGAGGAGCAGATCCGAGAACTATCGAAGCCTTGCTAAGCTAATGGAGCCGTAAAGTGTACAGGTGTGCGTTGCATCCGGGAGATGTTTCATTTACAGCTCGTCACAGGAGATACGGGATATTACGACGGTAATAATAACACGTTCTAAGTAGCTAGCTAGTACGGTTAGCCTCCCCATTGCAATCTCCTCGCTTCTAGAATATCACATACCCCTGACGACCTCTCATATAAGAATAGGATATAGACGAAAAGGATATAGACGAAAGCCTAGGACTTTGAAACTGCTGGAAGTTCTCTGCTTCAAAGGTAGTATCTTGGAAATTTAAAACTACGGGAATTGGAAGAATCAATTGGCTGTCAATTTTGTTTCCACATTGAATTACATATGTAGTCAAATGGGTCACAATGGATGCATTGGCTGGCGAGCTCTACGTACGGTATGCACCTAGCGTTCCCACAGTACTGCCCCTTAGAGGGGCTTCTCTTCCAGGTTATCATCTATATCTAATATATATCTATGGAATATCATTCATTGCTTCACAAAGTGTAAGGTCTAGCAATTACGCACGAATGGTGGTTAGACAGTCTCACCCCCTGAAAAGGGGTAAGCAGATGAAATACTCTAGGCATCAATCAGCCATCTTACGTACTAGCATAGTATCTTCTGATTGCTTCCTAGGTCTCATTCGACTTTAACTTGATGCTTACCGCCTAGTTTATCTAGGCTCTCTTATATCCTCTAGCTACCTACCTACCATGGTGAGTATCACAGGTAATGTCATCCTCACTGGGGCGAACAAGTCTCTTACTACCACCAAAGAGCATCACCGACAAAATTCACACAAAAAAAACGTGTATGCAAACAGTGAGAAACGTCTCAGACGCTGGCGTCGACACTGGAAGACTGCATGAGACTATTTTTCAAGAGCCGGAAGCAAATTGTATATTTACCAACGAACTTTCCATTGCTAGCTCTATTCCTCAGAGTGTTGCAGAAAGCCAATATCCTCGTGTCCCTGACATGCCCTCTACCAAACCTTGTTCAAGGTCCAAGATCATAGTCAGTAGAAAACATGACAGTCTTGGCTGGGGTTATCCCATGCAATATTGGCTCTTCAATACATTTACGAGTTTGTCGAAAAATGAAGCCAGTGTTGTCATGTTTTCAAGCAACTTACACTGACCAGGGATGAATCCGATGAATTGTATCCTCCTGCAATCCATGACAGTATGTAAGAATTAACAAAACCTACTGGTGACAATGATTACCTATCTAGGGCAGTATGCTTAGATGTATGCTAGCCCCAGACTTGGCTATCACAATCTAGATGGACCCCTTGTGTTGGTATTTTGAGACAGGCTGCGTATATTATAGAATTTGTATTCTACACATATAGTCAACAAAACAAATGAATACCACACCTAACACATATGAATCTAGCAAGCCACAATATTTGAATTCTTCACATCGCTCAGTTCTTTTCGAACTTGAGAAAATTAAGTAAATTAACTAGGTAGGTGGTCTAACCATACCCATATTAGCCCTGAGTTACCGAATGAATGCATCTCAGGCACCAGGGCATTTTATCAAGTTTGGAACATTACTTCTCTAGCATTTGCTTTGTACCTTATAAATTAAGGTCTACATGTATGTAGGTAGGTAGAAGATAGAGAAGGGTCGTATACTTTCCCCTTATTATGCCTATACTCTTGCATATAGATTTAATGAGAACTTCTCAGGGCCCTTTTCAGTTGTGTAGCATCGCGTAACTATATCTGCAGTCATGACCTTCCCCGAATGTCCGAAGCTTTCACAAAAGTTTTCTATCGGCAATAGCTTCCTCGTTTTAAGCTTCTCAGAGGTTCTATACAGTACTAATGGTGGAGATACGCATGACTTCCTACTTCTGAGCTAA